CTTTTCGGGATCGGGTAGAATCTCCGGTTCTCCCTTCTCAGTCTTCTTGAGCTTCAAGGCGGCCTCCAGGATCTCTCCAAGATCCTTCTCAACCGCTCGCTCCTCCAGCGTATTCTCGTTGTTATCGGCCAGGTCTCGTTTCTTAAGGCGAAGGTATACGCTACCTTTGCTCCACGCCATCTTTCCGAACCTGGCGTATAATAAGTCTTCGGCCGGCTTGTTTATTTGGAAGATGTAGGTTTGGCTACCATCCTCCTTACCGGAGTTGGTGACCTTTAACACCTTCAAATCTTCCGTCGGCACATCTGGATTCTGTCTCTGCAGAAGCCGCAGCGCATTCTCCGGTTTTACCGTGCGGGGTATGAGCATCTTCGCTTTCGGTATGGACGGTATGCAGCTGCGGTCCACAATCTCCAAGACGGCGCCCTCCCACAGGCCTTGAAGCGTCGCAACAGCTTCCTTTACCCATATGATTTTCACCCCATTCAGCCACCCCGCACCATCGAAAGTGTTGTGCTCTCCATCCATTTTCGAGACGAGCGCATCCAGCAACTTAAGTTCTACTGCTCCCCAGCGCTCCTGAGACATTTAGCCCAGCGGATTACTACGGTCAATGAGTGGCACGATTAGATGTCTCCTGGCTATCTCACTGCGAGTTGCCGCCGCTTTTGATGTTGTCGCTTTCTCTTGATCGAGCCTGACGTTTGGCTTTGCAGCGTCGTCTCTGCGCTTCGATATTTTGGCCGGCCTTGCTATCTCGCTTTCAGCAGACACCTGCGTTTTAGCCGCGATTCCTTCCTCGATCCGGTTTGCGAATCCTGGATCCGTGGCAGTGAATCGTGGCCTTGCCGCGTAGTACGCCCGGTCTTCCTCCATTTTCCCCTTAGCCCAAGCAAACCTTTCCTTCTCTTCCTTCGTCCGGTTTGACATGCAGCTAAGTAATCTCGTGGACTTTGATCGCCGCCTTGTATATAGCTTTAGCCTTCAACCCCTCCTTACTGGGTTTTGCCCAAGGCCTTTTCTTTGATGCCGAACAAGCACATTTGGCATCCCCCGGAGAGTGTAGCAAGGCTTCTTTCCTGAGTGTTTACGCTTTCACCGCTTTCGAGTCCGAGTCTTCGTGGACTGCGGCACCCCTGCGCTGTAGCGTCAGTTTGGCAGTAGCACTACAACCGCTGAGAACCGCTCCCTTCACAGCAGAGGTGTGGCCGTTAGCGACACAGCGAGTAGACTTGCTGTGCCCGCCGGTGGTAGTAGCCACTTCTCCCACCGACGTTTGGGCTGATATCCCAGCCTGATTTTCTTCTTTTCTGGCCTCCGTGGTGAGTTTTTATGTCAGGGAACCTCTACCCCTAGAGTTTTGTACCTACCGCCAGGTACCTCGTTAGCAATGGCAGAAGTAGGCATACACCCCATTCCCCTAGGTACATATGCAGAGCAAAGCACTAGGTAGACAAGGATGGATACGTATTCCTGCCTTCGCAGACGCCGCCTGCTCGCACCGCAAGACCCGCTCTAGGTACTAGCCTAGATGCTAAGCCATCGCGATGGCAGCAGCGATGCCCAGTGCTCAGTCGGCACCCGCGGGGAGGATACAGCTAAGAGGATTTATGTTAACTGTACGGTGAAATAACTGAATAAAAAAATAAGTGGAAATGTGGTTAATTAGAGATAACTGCCGCAAGAAGTACTACCTTTACTTGCGCAGCTTCCACAGAAGACAACGTCGAACTTTATTATAACGTTTAATCCTTCTACCTAGTCTTCATTACTGATGCAATTTCTTACCAATTCGACTATTCATGTTTTGTTTCAGGGTTTTTAGCATGTGAAAGATTATCAAAACAAAATTTGATTTGCAATAAAATGCTTTCTACTTTAACTATACAAAACGAATTACCTGACATTCCATCTCCAAACTCATTTTCTTTTAAAAGAATGTCTAAATCAATTGCCATTTCAAAATTCGAAACTTAGATTCGAGACTCGAAATCAGCGATCTCAAAAACTCTAAAAATGGCCTGTTTTAATAAAGTTTATGGATTTCTTCATTTTTCTTTTCGCCATATTTGATAAGGGCTTTGAATGGCATGTTTTATTAAAACGCCTTAATTTCTAAATTTTTGTGTTTGTCGTATTAGCAAAATCTGACCTCAAATTCATAATCAGCGACCTCAAAAACATAAACAAACAAAGTGGTGTCAAATTGTGTCAAAGCGTCTTTGAGCAAATAATTTTGTCCACCTAGATTTGGATTTCGAACCACTGTGCGCCGTCTCTGAATGGCTGATAGTTTTTTTGAGAAGCTTTCTTATGTCAGAGATTTGCCATTGCCTGCAGACTGGCGTCTGCTAACAGAAAAAACTTTTTCAAGTTGTTGTTTGGACCGTGCGCATCATTAACTAATCGGCTAGGTCAGCTGCCATATGTACATAAAGTACAATTTATAACTACAGCGCAAAACAAAAGCTATTCTTGAATCGATATAAAAAACGCATTAAGCACCTTATAATATTATGTATGTATGTATGTATATTATGTAGATCCAAGCTTTGCACGCGGGCAAGCCGCACAGTGTAAGATTTGACCCATCTAACTGCTTTTAATTCTGTAATTGGAAACTATTGAAGATAGATTAATGAAATTTTGTACAAGGTATGTTATAAGATAGGCGAAGCTTTTTACAAAAAAAACTGGCCATTTAGAGGTACTGTCATGCCACCCTATTATATAATAGTAATTTTTAAAAAGGCAAAGCTGAAATATTCGACTAACTACAAAAGCTAAAAGGCCCAAAATTTACATTTGGGATTTCCTTATAACAAGGAATTATTAGCTGACAGAAATGGACTTAAGAATTAATTTTTTTTTAAACTATGGGCGTGGCAAATATCGATAAAAAAGTCTAGTTGGGTCAACAAAATTCCGTTATAAGTTCACTATTTCTTGCTCTATTTAGAAAAATTGAATACCATTGAAAGTTAATGGAATCAAACTTTCTTTATTCAAAAGCGAAAATACAAAACTTTCTCTCGGTCGAGATCAAATGCAAATGAATTACTCGAAGAAAATAAAATTCCTAGCAGGCCTGAAAAAAGAAAATTTCATCAAAACCAACACTTTCCAGCAGCTAAGGTTGTTTTGTTTATAGTCTAAGAGGAGTGGCAAATAAACTGAGTTGCAAACTTTATCGAATAATCGCGGATAACGAGCTGGCGGATCTAATGAAATAAATAAGTTGCTAAAATTAAATTTAAGTTAACATGGTTTTACTTTAACATGAAATCCTCAGTCCTAGTTTACTAAAGTCCCAAAAATGTGTATTCGTTTAAAAGAACATATCTAAAAAATAAGACGAAAATGGTATTTTAGCAATTGTTGCATAAATCACTTAACACCAGCAACTTAAACATTGAGATTCAGTTTCAAATACACAAGTTTAAATATTATTGCGCTTGGTAATCTTCCAATTAAATCGCGTCCCGCCCTACACTTTGATCTGCATAAATCCCTTAACACTAGCAACTTAAACATTGAGATTCAGTTCCAAATATACAAGTTTAAATATTATTGCTCTTGGTAACCTTCCAAATCAAATCGTAATAATACACTGTGAGGCGGTTCCCACCACCAATTCACTTCTACTGGTACTGTTTCGTTCGATACCAAGTAATTTTGGTATCGATACTTTTCAACCAAGTACTGAGTAGGTATCGAAAATCAAATACTTGTATCCAAACCCGATACTAAGGCAAATTTGGATTCGGCAATTTTTCCTCCGCTGTTATTCCTTGTTCTTAACGGCTGCATAGGCGACAAAGTCGATATAATGCGACGTACACAAGGCCCAACTGTTCGAGTGGAAGAGTAACATGCGTTTTGATACTAACACCTACACGAATTTATTTGCGTTTAACTCGCGTTTGCATGTTGAGTAAACTCCAGAAAAATACGCGTGTGAACAGGGTCTTATTCTTCGCGCTGAAAATACCAGCTGAAAATATTAAACGCATGGAAGTCTAGCTCTGTTATTGAAGAAAAGAAACGAAGAAGAAAAAGAGCCCCACGAAGAGTTGTTTACAAAAAATATCTTAAGCAGAGAACACACGAGTGTTGTTATTCGTAAAATTTTAAGACAACACCACTCTATGGTTGGTCATACCAGATAATCCTTAACTTATGACCTAAGTAATTAAATTGAACTTATTTAGTTCATACGGAATACCTTCATAGAAAAAAGTATCGATATCCAAGTAAAAGTATCGATACCTGCATGATATCGTTTCATCCCCAAGAATAGAATATTAAGAGGATACGAAGAACCAAAACGGCGAATCTTTTGCAGTAAATGGCGAAAAAATAAAGATTCGGCCTTACTTTTCAATGAATTGACAGCTATGGTGAACATGAAGGTTTCTAAAATAACGGTTAGAGGACTCCAGAAACAAGACCCTAATCTTGAATTCCCGTTAAAAATATATATAATAAAGTCCTTAATTTCCAAAGCGTCACAATAAAGATAAGCCTTACTTTGCCAACAAAAGTCAGGGAAGAGCTTGGCTGCTTAAAACAATTTTTTAATCTTTTCACATTTATTTTGCTAGATGATGTTAAGTGTTTGGATGCAAAATATGAAATTCAGATTCCTCAGAAACATCTGAAACATTCCCTAAAATTTAACCCTACTAGAGGTCTATTCCATGGTATGAAAACGTTAAGTTATGTTTAATAAACTAGGGATTTGTTTCTTATTTTACGAAGGAAATATATGTTCTTCTTTCGGGACCCCCAAAATCGATATTTTAGAGACTTTTTTGCTAACCAGAGCTGCCAATTCATTGAAACTTAGGCCTGAATTTTTAAACTTTCGCTTTTTTTTGTTTTAGTTCTTAGTATCATTGCGAGTTAATTGTTTTCATTTGATTTGATTTGAAATTTATCTGATTTAATTTTCTACATCACTTTTACACATATGTCTCAAAAACTGATCCTATCATTATTTCAAATATAGGGCTGCGAGCAATCACCACAACTCTGTGCTTCTTTTAATGTGGATACGATTAACTTAGGATGGCAAAAATTCGATATTACTTCAACTATTCGAAACTGGTATGCCAGAGTACCTATGGAAAAATTACGACTTCTGATAGACTGTACTGGTTGTGGCAAATATGTTTTGCATTTATTTGACCTGCCGACAGATATTTCAAAACAAAAACAACCGTTTGAACACCAACACCAAAAGTATCATTCGATGAATCGAAATGATCTTGTTGCTCAATGGACACGACAACGCAGCGGTTTGAACAACGCCATTAAAATAAGCAAAGAGAGTAATGCAATTCAAAGGGCTTTGCAAGATCGTCCACTAACCGAACATGCTTCATTGGACTGTAACTCTATTTTCGGTTGCAATGTTCAACGTAACGCTACGGCCATAATCAACGGCTACAAAGTAAAGAAGATTCAAACACAATTTTTGCAACAATATCCTTTGGAGGGAAACAGGCAACATCGAGCGAATCGAATTCAGCGACAACAGAAAAACACAAAAAACCGCAGGCAAAATCGTTTGAAACATCAAGATGCTCAACATTTACAACGACAAACAGATATGGAATTACAGATGCCAAAATCACAGGAGCCAAATCCGAATCGGCCATTTTTAGTACTACGCACGGAAACAAAGCGATATAGACGAGTACGACGACGTGCAATTGATTGTGTTGGCGCTATTCATGGTCAATGTTGCAAGGAATCCTTCTATGTATCATTTAAAGCACTAGGCTGGGACGACTGGATCATTGCTCCGCGCGGCTATTTCGCCAATTACTGTCGTGGAGATTGTACAGGTCCGTTTCGCACACCGGATACATTTCAAACCTTTCATGCCCACTTCATAGAAGAGTACAGGAAAATTGGACTTTTAAATGGTATGCAACCCTGCTGTGCCCCAGTAAAGTTCTCAAGCATGTCTCTAATATATTACGGTGACGATGGAATCATTAAAAGGGATCTTCCAAAGATGGTAGTAGATGAATGTGGGTGTCCATGAAGATGTGCCATGTATGTACGTATGTACATTTCAAAATACTACTTATCAATAAGTTAGCACAGTGTGGTCTATCTACAATAAGTCAACATACATACATATTTACAAACACACATGCAGAATTTAGGTTTAAACAGCTCATATCCATACAAACATAATATCCCAACACAACCAGGCTGACTAAAACTACAACAATCGGGGAAAAAAATGTATTCTTTACTAACACATTCTCACAAGTTTCTGTCAAATCATGAGAGTGAGAGGTCCTAATAAAAATGATTACATCGTTATTCTAACGAATAACACCACATTATGTCAAAAGTGTCGGTATTATTTAAATCCCATCAATTGTATTGAACTGTTCTTGCTGGGATTAAACACATAAACACCTCAAAGAGGAGTCTGGACTAGCGCAGAAAATTTCCTAGTATTTTCCAAGTATCCAGTAAATAAATATGTACAATTTGGATATTCACAACGGTCTTTTTGTATGTCGTAAACTTTGAACGGTTCAATAAATGTTTACATTCCTTAAAACCCCAAGCCACTGTTTTCTACCAGTGTGAAATTTCGTACTATGACTTTTATGGTATGTTACGAAGCCCCTAAATATACTTTTAACCGTTTAAAGTTTACGACTTATTTATCTACAATTATGCGACACCTACGACACCATTGTGAATACCCCAAATATGTTTTTCTATTATACAATTTGCACCATTTTATGATAAATAAGTCGTGCAAGGTCTACAATAAGCAGAATTATCGCTGCAAATACCGACCACATCGACAAAAATAATATCTAGGAAACACATGGCGGCCGCTGTGGTCTACTGGTAAGCAGTACGCGCTAAGGTTTCTCATGACCTGGTTCAACCCCAGTTTTCTTCCAACATCAAAAAATAAAAAAACAAAAAAGTTTTTTTATAATAGCGGTCGCCCCTCGGCAGCCAATGGCATGACTCCGAGTGTATTCTGCAATGAAAAATACAACCGCCGCACAGTGGTCGGAGAAGTTATGTTTTACGCGAAAAATTAGAAGGGCTGTCACGATTATAATAAAAATACATCATCGTAGTATTTTTGTTATGCTAAATCTGAATATGCCACAAAATTTTTAGTTTGACAGTTGACAGCTGTCAAATCAACTGCTAATTTCTCTAAAAGTACGAAAATCTTTTTGAAAATACCGCTTATTAGGTTTTTAGGCACGCAAATTAAAGCTTTGAGAGTTGACAGCTGTCAAAATGACTGTAAGTTTTTCTGAAAATAAGAAAATGTCTTTTTAAATGCTACTGGTAAGGGTTTTAGACACGCTAGTCACGAATTTCACGTGAAATTAAAACATTGAAATTTGACAGCTGTCGTATGGGCTGTCAATTTCTCCAAAAAATAAGGAGAATTTTCCAAGAAGTAAACGTACTAGGTTTTAAGGTTCACTGATCTCGAGTTCTATATTACATTCAAATTTCCCAGTTAAAATCTGCCAAATCAACTGTCATTTTTAGTTGAGTAACACAATATATTTGTTAAGCAAACCTACTGATTTATTGTATTTGATCGAACATATTTAAAATGAATTTATGATCAAATTATCAATTAATGACAACAATTATATTTATAAATGAGGGATAGTTGGGCCGCCTGCTATATGTTCAGCCCAAACAATTTTTTAAGTTTTTTTTTTTATTTTATACCAAATTGGTGACTTCCAAAACTAAAGTTTTCTCATTTTTAAATAAAGTTATTCAGGTTTGAAATTTGTAAATGGGAAATTAAAAAAAAATATGTATAAAACCTTGGGACCTTGTTGAAATTTCTGGGCGGAACAGTAAGGAAGGGCGTAATATTTTTTTGCGAGTATGCGCGGCTTTTCTTTTCGTAGATCTTTAAAGGACCCCTAGCATTACTTTTTGGTAAAGGAATGAAGATCCTACCCTGCTCTACTCATTACTTATACCGTTTTGAAGAAAATATTTCTTGAAAAATAAGCCGCGTTTTTAATAAAAATGACCGCCATTCTTTTTGGCGCGAGTATGCGCGGCTATTCTTTTCATACGTCCTTAAAGGACCCCTTGCATTACTTTTTGGTAAAAGAATGAAGATCGTACTCGGCCCTACAAATTAGTTATACCTTTTGAAAAAAATATTTATTGAAAAATAATCCGTGTTATTAAGATATTCATAATTTGGCAATAAAATTTTATTATGTAATATTTCATATGAAATAATCATTTTCCATCTTTAAGAAGTAACACCAAACCAGCAATTACTGTTATAATTTAAAGTTTCCATAATAAAAACTGTTAAGAAAGCTATCAACTCATAACTGTTAGAATAATCCACGATCGAATTCGTTGAATTATATGGATTCAATGGCTTGCTCAGCACATATTACTAGATATACTATCCAGCTTTGAGTTCGCTGGACATTTCTGAATAAAAATGGCTTTGCTCCAGTTATTTTATCATAGTTTAAAAATAGGCCTTTTTCGCGTAAAACATGCTTTTTACGACCACTGTGCGCCGTTCGCAGTCGGCGTAAAACTGTAGGTCCCTCCCCTTTGTGTGACACCATCAAAGCACACGCCACAAAACGGAGGAAAAGCTCGGCTAAACACCAACATATGTTCAAGCGCCAATCAACAAAATTCAAAATATTTCTAAACAGGTCTGTTCGTTGAGTGCACTAAAGTACTGTATTTTTTGAACGAAATTGCACTTAACATTACTATCTTTTTATGCAGCGTTTTTGCTGCATTTAAAATGCAACATTTAGCAGTTTCGAAAATATTTTTTCGAAGAGCGTTCATGCTATCGAATTTAGCAAATGTAAATTTACGCGAGTTCGAAATCGTATGCTTTTGACAAACAGCCGTGTTCCAGTCGTTTATTCAGATCCGTATCTATCACGATCAATTCGCACAAAGAAGATAATGTGCAAAAAACCCTACTGAAAAGGGAAAAAGAATTTTTAAACAAACAATTCATTACGAACCTTGAATTGTTTTAACCATAAACGAAAATTTGTTTTTTGTATAAATTCATTTAACGGTGCTCTCAATTGAAATTTCCTCAATTAAATAGGGAAAAACCAAACAGAGTTGTTCACAAATTGAGCCAGATTTCTATCAGTATCACATCGATGTTGAATTTGCGCAACTTTTCCTTTTCCAAATAATGTAAAATAATAAATCAAATGTAGATCGGCGATCACTGAAACGCAGCTAGCAACTGTATACGCGAAAAAGCAATGTTGCCACTTTTTCTTATTAAACCATGTTCGAATCGTGGAAATTTTTGAAGATCACAGGGTTGCTTTTAGCATTTAGACTCTTAATGCCGAAATTGAGCGGCATTTAGGTGACAAATTTTGTATGGATAAATGTACATTTAGAGTAGCATTTAGAGCTAAATGTGCTAAAAGTGCTTTTACGCGTAAGCAAAAACAGTCCATTACCCGGTTAGTGCAACACATACGATCAGTTGTCGGAAACAATGAAGAAGGAACTCAAAATTGAAAATGGAAAAGCTAATTCTTATACAAATAGTAAATATAGGTTTTTTAATAACGCGATCGAAAGGGTCATGTGTAGTTTTGAAGCAACAAGCAAAACCAAAATCTCAAGAATCTTAAGCATGCCTTTTTCCAGCTGCCGAATGGAAACGTGTAGAGCTACCACCTCGTTGGTTGCAGGTTCAAACCATAAACGCGTTGATTGCTTTTTTCTGTTTATAGATTTTTTGAGCGATATGCAACACATTACTTTCGTAAGACAGGGACGGTGTTTAGATCAGTGGTGTATAGCGTTCCCAGCAAAAAAGTAAGTTCGCCAGGGCCACACTGGAGAAGTGAAACTTACGTTATATATCTAGTTTGTCTCATAACCAATATACATACATATGTACATACATAGGTTAGGTTAGGTTGATGTGGCAGTCGGTTCAAATTACCAACTCACTTAGACCTTATGAAGGTCCATTGTGGTAACACTGCATAACACGGGAACCTCTGTGCCTAATCTTCAGAGAACCATTTCGAAGCTCTTATAAAGCGTAGGATTGGCTTTATTCGTACGCATGATAGTTCCGTAAGAGAGCTAAATAAGGGCCTACCTAAAAAGCCTGCTCTCCTCCTGGCCAGAGCTGGGCAGCTACAGAGGAAGTGCTCTACTCTTTCTTCCTCTTCCTCATCCCTGCAACTTCTACAATATTCGTGGGAGAATATTCCTAGTCTCGAAGAGTGCCTGCCAAATAGCAAATGACCGGTAACACAAGCCATGACCCTTGCAATATCCTCTCTTGAGAGGCTGAGCAACTCTTTCGTCTGTTTCTTATCAATTTGGGGCCAAAGTAGCCTAGTTGTTCTACAAGTGCCCTCCTCTAGGCATGACCTGTTTGCCTCTTGGATCATGCTTTTTCGAAGTTCTAATTTGCAGGTTGCCATGGGTATCCCAATTGTGCCTCTGTTTTCACATAGGGGGAGATTGGTACCTTTTCTGGCTAGCTCGTCGGCCCTGCAATTTCCTTCAATATCTCTATGTCCCGGAACCCAAATGAGGCTGACCTTGAGCACGGCGCTGATATCGTTTAGATCTGCGAGACATTCCTGCGCAACCTTCGATCTCAGCATTACCATGTTCAATGATTTAATGGCCGCCTGGCTCCTTTATAGCTAAAACCTCTTCCTGATAAACACTGCAGTGGTCCTGAATTCGGACGGATAATTCTAGTCCTAGTTCCTCGGAGAAAACTCCATAGCCAACCCTACTGTCTAGGTTGGATCCATCCGTATAAAAATTCAGTTCCCACCTTCTCCATGGTCTTGGAATTTGCCATTCTCTTCTTGACGGGATGCTCGTCTTGAAGAGCCTATCGAAGGTTGGTTTAGGGGGGAGTAGTCTACTTCTTGTTCGTGACTACCCAGAGTGTGAAGTATAGAGGCGTGACCGAACCGCCGATCCTTCCATAGCGCCATGCTTTTTAGTCTGAGCGCTGAATCGGCGGCCGCGTATTTACCCACCAGGTTTATTGCGGGCAGATTGGTTACCACCTCTAGCGCTTTATTTGGGGTGGTCCTTAAGGCACCTGAAATGCATAGAAATGCTGTTATTTGGACCTTACTCAATAGTTTTAGGTAAATTGATTTTTGAGTTGCTGGCCACCATACGAGTAATCCGTATAATAGTATTGGCTTGGCCATCGAGGTGTAAAGCCAATGTGTAATACGAGGTGTTAGCCCCCACTTGATTCCGACCGCTTATTTGTAAGTGTATAATGCAACGTTG